AAAGGTGAGTTTTCTTGACTCGTTAGCTTGAATTTTGTTGTGGCGGACGAAAGCTTAGCACCTTTTCACCGGAATCGAAGGAGATTGCCTCGGAAACAGCGTCATCATGAATCCTCCAGTAAAGCCAATCGACAGCTGGTCAAGAGGAATCGGCCGTCGTCCTCTGGTGGAACCGACCTTCGAATCTCTTCACCCAACACTTTCACTCGAAATGGAAGTAAGCTCAACAATTTGAGTTTCTCTAGACAAATCTAAGTCATTCAGGTTACCATATGGTTCATTACTTGGCGATTCTCAGATGAGTTGAAGCAAGGGATTCCTCGAAACCCAACTTTTCTTTACATATTCTATTCCAGGCCAAAGTGGATTGCCTCGAAAGCCTACTTAACTTATTTGATCATCACCAATCAGCGATGTTTCTCTAAATTTATCTTTATCATTTTTAATGTGAATTTAATTTTAAGCCAGAATGTGTGGTGAGGTGAATCGTAGATCACTTGAACAAGAGTTCCACTTGGCCGACTGTCGTCTGATTACGTAAAGATTTTCAGGCTGACGCAGTCCCCTTACTATACAGCCTTGTTTGGTTCTGTCTTACTACAGAGCAAGGAGGCATTTTCATGGCACACTTTACCTCACAACACGTTGAGATGATCAACCGGCTGATCTTTTCCTTCATCAGATGCTTATGAAAAAACTGGTTATTTCCATATCTATATTAATATCACTATGGGAAAATTCATCTACCAGACCTTCGTCACCTTAAATGAAATATGGTGGACACAGCTCAAATAAGTTGAGAGGGATGGAGAATTTCTTAAAAATACTCGATAGTATAACGAAATCCAGCATTTGAAAATTACACATTACTAGAGGACTGAAAAGCCATCTTCCAAAAGCCGACCTTTTGCAGACATCCCCTGCCGACGAACGAATGATTTTCTTCTGATGAGATCGCTCGTCTTATAAGCAATGGATCCTTGAAGACGCAAGGATTCTAAATTTGCGTAGGAGTCTGCCAATCTAATCTAGTTTTTTATTTAACTGTATTGCAGTTTCGAACTCGCCTCAATTTCATCGACACCCTGAGAAGGATTTGAAGCGTGGACGCGCGAATTAGGAGGCGAACACGTTGCTTTACAAGTCTCGATAACTTCATGCCGATCGGCACCCGTTAACTCTGCTTCAAGTGCGATATGCTACTGAATTGGTCTTTAAAATCACAAATTGTAACAAAAGGTGGATGGGATCGTATAACTTAAGAGGTTAGGTATACGCCTCGAAACACCCAAGTTCATAATTCGACTTTTTAGCGGAGCCCTGATGGAACGAACAACCGAGATGGAAATCTAAGTCCAGCCGGCATGAGAAATTTCTTTGGCAAGCAGGGAAAGTTAGAATTCTACACGAAAATCCAGCTTAACCTTTAATTTATCGTGAGTAGATGTAGTATATATGCACTAAAAAACCCAATCTTAACTACTGCATTTATACCAGAATCAGCCTAATGATAGGTGGAAGAAGTAAAACAATAAAAGAATAAAACCTACAAGCAATGACTGAGAAAGAGTATAAAGGAGTT